CCCCAAAACCCCAAAACCCCAAAACCCCAAAACCCCTCAACCCATATTAATTGAATTCGCGAAAGGTATGACTTTTTGATTTGACTATTAAAGATATAAATGAATTTTCATGCCTAATTGACTTTAACTTTGAGAATTTGGTATCTATGGAAGTCCTTTCTCTTTGCCAAAAATCCATCTATGAAGTTTCTTTGATCTATAGAACCCTTATAGAACTGCTTTTCCATCTATTTACTCTCATTATCTGCATTTGAGATTTTCTTGTCAATAACACTGATTACCTTTTATTTACTCATTTTCTACAGTTAGATGAAATCATTTTAAAATTTATCTTACATTCATAATGTTTTGCTCTTAATACGATAGCTGATCGTTTTATTATTTCAAGGATAAGAACTAAACGTATTTAGTCTCGTATTGCTAAGCTAATTCTTGTAATTCACCTTTCTATTTCAAATTTGATTCTAAATTGGTTTTATTAGATGTATATTTTACAAGCTAATTGAGTGACCTCTTTCATATGTTTATCTAACTCAGTTTTAATAGGTTCAGTTTCAGGATCAATAAGCATAAAATTTAGAAGGCTGTCTTTGCTAGCAAGTAGATTCTCCTACTCAACACTAGACATCTCCTTGGCTTGATTTTTAGTGTTGATAAATAAAGGCTTCTGAATATTAATCTGTTCTGGTTAGTACTGTGACTTTTAGATCACTCCTTGCATGTTTGCTGGAATAGGGGGGTTCAAGTTAAAAGATTCGTGGATAGATTGAACTAGGTGAGCTAGTGAAGAATTTTCTGTCCAGTTCTGTAAAATTGCACCTTGATAGTAGAAGGTATTTGAATCTATTTCAGGGTGAGACACCTTACTCATAATTCTAATACTTGGCTTAGTAATAGGGAAGTCATTGTTCAAGCCACTATATTATCATTGATTATTTACTTTAAAAATACACTTTAATGAAAAGTGGCTGTGTTGACACTTTAAGTTAGAGTGGCACTCTGTACTCATCAATAGAATCAGTTTTCATCTGGCTGATAGTTCCTGGGTATGCTTTCATCAGATTCTAAAGCTGAACGTTTTTCCTAATTGCATCTATTTCAATAATAATAGTCTTACATTCCATGAAGCATATTCTGCTGCTATTGAATTTAAGTCTATTAAGGGACTGATTTAGACATCATGTCATAGTTTGAAGATGATCTTGCGTACATCTTTGATATCAAATTTTATTAAAATCTATTAATTATAATTACTTTAAGATTAATTGTAATAAATTATATTCTCTTGATGATGACGCTTTACGGGGTTTTGGGGTTTTGGGGTTTTGGGG